TGATTTCTTATTAAATTGAGTCGATTGTCTAAACACGTCGTAAAGTTCATGAAACTTGCTTTAAGGCAAAATAATACTTACATCTAGTTAGTTTTAGCTGTACTGATAAATGTGTATATAGACTTTATAGGCTGATTCCACCGTAAAATAGACCAATGTTGTGGCGAGGCTATGTTACGTAGCGTTTATCATATAAAGTGGCACTGAAAACTGTCGAAATGCTATGTAGTTACTGTGCAGTTAGGCGTTAGAATTAAAAACAAGACATAAGACCTATTTGCCTCCTGGCCGTCCCATGTCACCCGGCCTATGGAATAAAAAGGACCAGGTTACATTTTTTTTATTCTCTTTATTGAATTACAATCTGTCTTTACGAAAAGGAAGACATTCAGTAATTTTGATGATATATGAAATGTTAAACATTAGATCTAAAAGGTTACCCAGTAGTAAGCCTTTTCTATTTTGATATATTCAATTTAAATTTTGTGATTATATAGAGTAAACTTAAAAATAAAATGATCTATGAGGTAAATGAGTATAAATTGTGAATTATAACAACAAATAAAAAGACATAACTAATAAATTAAGCACAATAAAAATAAATAAAAATATAAATAAACAACTAAATAAGTAGAATGAATATATTATATATTATGTGGAGGTCAATGTGTCGGATCCGTCGAGGGGGAGTTTTCTTTTAGCCGTTCGATGCCGTGCGACTTCAATAAATTCTTGGCCAAAATATTAGGATGGTTTTGTACTCTGCTTTTATATTTTTGACTAATTAATTTAATTTCTTCATTAATTGTGTTTATGTTTAGGTCTTGATGGACTAACCAGTTTGGTGTGTACAATTTTTTGAAATAAAAAACACATTTTTACAATAATGAATTAGCTGAAAGTTTTACTTATTATAGGCAGATAGTTGTTTGTGGGGTATGTGTCATTTGTTGTGATATAATTGTTTTGGTTTTCGCAATATAGTTGCTCAAAGTCAAATTCAACTTTTATTCCCCGCCCTATTCTAATAAAAAAAAACATTTGAGAAAACTTTTTATTTTAATGTAAAACAAATGTTTTTACAATTCCACCTATTATGGACGAGTCTATAAATGCACTGGACTTTAAATTAGAAAAAACGTTTTAAATTAGAAGTTTTGTCAAAGATTTACAATTATCTCGATTATTACTTATCTTCATTCAAGAAAAAATCAGTTTTGACCGTTTTGATCAGACTGATTTGACAGTCAAACAGGGGGATAGCTATAATATTAGTCGTGGAATCCTTATAAGATTTTCCACTCGCATTAATTTAGGAAAAATAACACAAAATATACCGCCTAAGCTTGCGCTACCCGGCCTACGTCAGTCGCACTCTCATTCTCATTTACAAGACACAATAAAATTGTAATTTCAATTAATTGCTTTTATTATGTTACAATGTAATATATATATATATACATATATATATATATATATATATATATATATATATATACAGACATAAACAAAAAAATGTTATTATAAAACAGAAACAAATATTTTACCATAGTACCCGCAATCATTCACCTTAAATAATTCAATTCACCTTTCTCTATATTTATAATTTAAAATTTATGCACTTAATATCATTAGTTTTTAGTGTATCATGATTTTATTAATTAGTAAAACATAATACAATCAAATTTAGGCCGCAGGTAAGTGATTAGAGCTATGGGACTTCTATCAGAAGTCCCAGGTTTGATGCTCGTCCCGAGCAGCCTGATGTCAAGTACTAGTGACATCGGTTTTTCCATGGAAATTTTGTTAGCAACTTATTTCTAAGTGAAAATAGCTCTTCCCCAGCATCGCTGTATCAAAAAAAATTATCAATATTATAGAATTTGTAATAATACAAAGATAGAGGTGGAATAACTGTTTGGGTTGCCCATCGATAAAATCCGGCGTAATTAGTTAAGTCAAAATCATTAAAACAGCTCATAGAACCCTTAAGTTCTGATCGCTGTTAAATATTTTTTTTACATTTTATCGAAATGTAATGCCATTTGATATACGCCAAAATGCCACTTTGTCTTTTGGCAACTATAAATATAAATTATTATTATTTTCCTAAAAAATATTGTTTTCGCCAGAAAAAAACGATTTGTGAATTTCATGTTTTCTCGGCATATCCAGAAATTCTGAATGGTTAGATAACAAATTTAGAAAATAAATGTGTGTATATATATGTGAGCCAAAGTTCGAGTTTTGTCAAATTTTGTTTCAAAAACGGCTGCACTGATTTCAAAAATTTAACATCCATCTAAGAAACTCGATAAGGACTCGCGTTGATAAGTTTATTGCTACAATCGGTCAAGCTGATTCTTTAGAATTAGCAGAAAAGTGCAAAATTATTCTTCCATGTTTTAGAAAAAAAAACTCTTGAACTGATTCTGACAATTTTAAAAATTATTCGAAAGATATTACGTGGGAGTCACGGGAGAGAAATACGGTTTATTTATAAAAATTAAGATTTAGTTATAAAAACCCATTCTTATCGTTCATAAATCTGAATCCCTATTGTTGAAGTCGATTATTTCCACATCGCCATCGTTGTGTTTACATTACAACTAATTTTCTCCTAATACGTTATCGGTTATGAGTAATTGCTTAATTATAAATAATATAATTATTGTTGAAGTACAATTGAGTGATGTAATGCCTATTTTTAGAAATTGTACTTGCAGGCAGTAAATAATTATAATAATTAATTAAAATATTGTCGAAGAAGAAAAATATTTGCACTGAATTGAATCGAAACTTTTCCATGATTCCAAGAATTGGAATTTAACCCTAACTATGTATCGGTTCAGGGTTTTTCATTAGAACATGGAAGAATAATTTTGCACTTTTTTGCTAATTCTAAAGAATAAGCCTGACCGATTGTAGCTATAAACTTATAAACATGAGTTCTTATCGATTTTCTTTAAATGGAATTTTTGAAATCAGTGCAGCCGTTTTTAACAAAAATTAGACAAAATTCAACCTTGTCCCTCAAGCACCTTGATTGCATTATTGGTGTACCTACAATTCATTCTCAAAAAACAGTATCAAAAACGAGGCCACAAGGTAGAAAATCCCCTTAAGGGGTTAGGAGGGGTACTTGGATGTTTCAAAACATCAATTTTTTGCATTTTGTTAAGTGTGATATCTCAAAAATATTCTTTGAAAATTTCAAGTTGATCCTATGATTACTTTTTGAGTTATTGGACTCTTACCAGAGCGCTGAAGCAAGTGGAGAGCTTGATACCTATACTCAAGATTATTCTCCCTTACCTCCTGATGTTTTAAAAGCTATTAAACCGATTAACGACGATCTCAGCAATGATAATTTACTTTCAATATGTGTAGTTCAAGATTAAATGCATAATCAGAAAAAAATTGAGATCTTCAACCAGCTAGAGTGAAAAATATGCCCTAAAACCGTGAATAGTAGTTCTACTATCGTACAAATTGCTGCATACATACACATAGTCATTATTATTGATTATGGATAATAAAGACCTAAGACCAAATTGTGGGTAAAATTCCCATTGGTATGCTGAAAAATTGGATGCTGCACGTGTGAAAGTGGCAGATCAGCGCGCCAACGAGAACACTCGGGAGGCCAGAATGCTTCGTAGGCAACAGCAAATGGAAATTTTGGAAACTTCCACAATGACTGATGAACTATTATATGACCCAGAAATAGATGACTCGGTTTAAGTAATTTAATTATTTGTATGCCAATGTGAAACTTTAAACGCGTTTTTCTCAAAACTATGTTTTTTGAGCTGGTGACAACTGTAACTAAAAAACCGCTTAGTAGATTTTAATGGAATTTATACAGCTTTTAGAATACATAATAATTTCGGGCATGATTGAAGGATTTTTATTTTTTCAAAAATTTAAATTTTTTAAGGCCAATTAACTGTTGATTTTTTCCCAATTTTTGTAAAAAAAAAGAAAAGCTATGAATGGGCCCAGGATTATCTATTTATAAAACTATTTTTTTTATTCGATTGATTTTAGATCAATTTTCAAGGAGTTATGACTGTCAGCGCTTTTTTAAACTGGATCAACAAAAACTGAAATTTTTGTTACTTCAAGTCAAACCATTGTATAATAATGCCGTGTTACTATTTTTGTAAAAAACATCGTTTAATAACAAAAAAATACTGGAAATTCTCATTTTTTCGTGCCTCTGAGTACTGTATCAAAGCAGCTTGATACCAAATTTTCACTTGAAATCATAGATTTCAAATATGATTTCAAGTGAAAATGGCCTTTCGTGGGCATTGCTGCAGCATACGTATATGCAGAGTGTGCAATAGCTGTAGTGGCAGCATGCCTCTTACAAGTAAGAGGTACTTGATGGATTGTATAACTATACTCAAAATGAAAAAAACAAGGACTCTGACTCTGACATCCATGACTGAGTTGGAGAATAAGTCAATACATCGACCTTCCGAAAAAGTTAAAATTCAAATATATGTAACAAAAAGAAAAATAAAAGTAATAAAAACATGTAAATATGTTAGGAAAAAAGAAAAGTAACATGTATGAAATAAGTAAGAAATAGTAATATGTATGTAAGAAAAAAGCGTTAAGTGTCTTAAAAATGTAAGAAAAAAAAAAGAAAAAAAAAGTAATAAAGTTTAAAATAAAAAAAAAATTAAAAAAAAGTACTGAGTACCTCTAACCCTTTAAGTGATATTAACAGTTGTATGAATATATTAAAGTTGAGCACTTTTCTATCTTCTATTAACTAACTCTACATTAAGCAATAGAACATGTTTTTGGTTTGATAAATGCGTATTTGTCGTAAACCTTCAGAAAACGAATTCAACTGCCCTTCACTCTTCACTAGATTTTATTTTTCGACTGTGAGTTGGTAGTTTGCCTTCGTGCGTCAATTGGCTAACTTGCGGTGCACGAGATGCTGCGGGTTTAGTTCACATTTGTTGACTATGGCGGCATTTTGTCATAACCTTTTTATTGTGCATTTGTCTTTAATATATGTAAATAGTACATAGAAAAATATTTTTCTACATAGAAAATGAACGAATAAAATCGTTAATGTTAATGGGATATTCTTGTACGCGTGACTCCCGTATTTTTTTTAAACCAATTTATGTTTAATTATGGAAAATTGTTTTGTACTTATGCACAATCATAACTAATTTTATACTGTGAGAAATATTTAATAATTTCAATTTGATATAAATTGTATACTTACGCATTTTAAAGTTAAAAGTAATATAGTGCTTACAATCAAGGCTAAGAAATAAGGAAACTCCTTACTGTGATCAGCAGCATACATGTTTTCAGGTAATTAGTCCTGCTTATTCATGCAATATACATATATTAATCATGTTATATGTTTGTTATGTGAGATTTAGTACTTGTAATTAAATCTCAAAAAAACGTAACATAACCTATAAACTTAACGCACAGAGTTTTATATCTAATATGATCTTCAGGATTTTTATAGTATTGACAATTTATTAAGAGTGCAATTAATCGAAGATGAAAGGATATAGTGTATTTACAAGATTCTAGTTATTCCACACTATCTGAGTTAGTCGCATTGAACTGAACATGACATTCTAAATTGTATTTTAATGGCACTAAATGCCAAAACTCGATCCAGCAGTGAAATGTATAATTTTGAGGAATTGCTTCGAGGAAGGTATTATATTCGGAAATGTATCAAAGCTAAATTGGAAATTTGAGGCAATATTCTGTACCTCAATATGATACTAATAAGTTGGAAAGATTGCCACAAGCAGTAATGATATTTTTATCTCTACTAAGTTCAATTTATCTGTTGAAATAAATTATACAACAGAGATCTATCTGTCTTTCTGATACTGAAGCTGCTTAATTATATTAATTTTCTTCGCCAATGATGTACCTTTCATTCAAACTTTTTAATATTACATGGCTTTCATCTTTTGAACAGTACTGAAGGATTCTGTTAAATTTTCTTAGTAGTGTTTTGCTCACTATCTCATGTTTAATGAATTAGATCAAGTTTTATTCTTCTTATTGCAGACTTCACCTTTGAAAATAGAAAAATATTGTAATACTCGGATGTTAAACTTTGCTGCAAGATAAAAAGAATATGAATATGATCATTGGCAAATTGACATATTGCTTTTGCAATTGTGTTGCTTTGTTGTTATTGTTTTATGAAGTTTTGTAAGAAGTTTTATGAAGTTTTATAAGAATAGCCACAGTATACGTGTTGATGCAATATTGAGTTTTCAGCAGCTTCTTCACTATCAAACATTAACATGTTTGCAAAACAAACTATTCAGTGATGCTTACGCATGCACAAATTTTATATAACTTCATAATTTCAAAATGGTTGAATAGTTGGACTACTTTCACGGATTAAAGATTAATGTGTTAATCTGTGATAGTTATGATAATATTATAAACCATTATAAAATTACTTATCTTTACACATACAATTCTTTAATAAATCAATACTCTTACAATATTCTATATTTCTTTAGTAGACAAAAAATGATAGCAACGAATTCATTTCGTTGATGGATATTACAAGTTATATATTGTGCAAGATTGTACATAATTGTTTTTGAAATTATTTTTCAAAATAATTTATATGTAACAGAATAAGTATATTAAATGTTTTCCATATTGCAAATTATACTTCTATTGTATTCTTGGAAAGGTTAAATTTATTATACCTATTTTGGGCATGTAAGAAAACTTGCCTTACAATATTTGAATAAGTGATACTGTACTCATAAATGTTAATTGTATTTGGAACAAAATCTTCCATCTTCTCACCTTTTGAAAAAGTCAAACATTTATACTTTATAATGGTTTGGGTTGTGAGGTATTTTTATGTCCAATGCTAAAACTCTATCAGCATTTCAATATCTCGAAATGTAATAATTATTATAATGCCGGTTGATACAAATTCTACTTTTTCTTGTAAATAAAGAAAAGATAAGAAAAAAAAAAGAGAAGACATTTTATATATCTTGAAATGTAACAATTATTATAATGCCGGTTGATACAAATTTTACTTTTTATTGTAAATAAAGAAAAGAAAAATAAAGGAAGACATTTTATATAAAGACTGTTTGTCTACTTTTTTATATTCTAAATTATTAAATATGTAAGATAATCAAATTTAAGATGAATATCATGCATTGATTCTGCACTTCATCGATTTACATAACGAGCACAAAACAAATTGTAAATTTGATTAGTAAGTTGAGACTAATTATATTTTTTGAGTGATACATATTTGCTCTTTCAATAGTTGTTTAGTTTATAAAAGATAACACAAACTTATTTAAATCTGCATAAAGACTCAAAAAAAAGTTTGAACAAATTTGTGTTTGCAGTTTTATATATAACGCTTGAATTTATATTGCTAAAATCATGTGTTATAATCTCGAACAAGCACCATGGCATTTAGCGTTAAGTCCTATGTTGCATTGAAACAACAAATATATTTATATAAATTTATTAAATTTGTTTATGTAATTTGTAACTTTAAAGAAAGAAATAGTAATTGTTACTTAGTTACTCTTTGCAAACTTGAACTGAGATTCAGAAAATCTACCAAATTAAATAAACTTCAGTATTTTAATCCTTAAGAATATTCATGGTCAGATTTCTTAATAATTCTTTGCGATGAGGTAGTTTTTTATAATTTGCTACTGATCACAAATCCTTTCATTTTATATTAATAGTTTTACAGAAAAAGTTGTTGACTAGATTTTTCTCTCATTTACTGTCCGTTTTTTATGGTGGTTTGAGTATCCTGTTTTACAACCAGTCTTGATAATAGTTATAATGCAACAAGTTTTGATAATAGTTATAACAACATTGGCAGTGCTATATTTTTCAAATTTTCAACTTTTTGCTACTACATACAATTGATGATAATAAGATTGTCTAATTTAAATAACTTTTTACGAATTAATGCATATAATCTCCTTTTGCTGCAAAATATTATTATCCATTATTAGCTTCAAGTAAGAATAAAGTAGTTGAGTACTTTGAAAGAAATTATCTCTCGATGTTTTTTCAATTAAGCTTTGTTCAGACATCCGTAATTTTTCCATGTACTACGTGGTTTTTTAATGTAGCAAAGAATAAGAAAATTGACCGGAAAGAGTTTATTTTTTTCTTATAAGGATAACTTGGGATTATTGGGATAAGTTATTAAAATTTTACTTCCAATATTTTACCATTTCAAGTTCTGATAATTTTGGTAACGAGCGGTTGTACAGTTTTTGATAAAAGCAGGCTTAGCCCCTTTAGAATTTGGCGTATGCGTATCAAATTATCAAAATTTTCAAATACGATTGCAATATTATGCGTACATTTTTATTAGGTATTAAACTAATTTGACTTTGAATAATTCAATCAAACCAATTATACATCACAACAAATCACACATACCAAACAAACATCTGTAAAACTCCCAGCTAATTTATCATTGTATAAATATGTTTTTTTTTGCTGGAGTAAAATGCTGCAATATTCAACTAAAGCAAAATGTCAATTTCATGGGTGCATTTTTTACAGAGATAGCACTTTATATAACCTGAATCTGGTATTTAGTCACCAGCAGAGTAGGAATAACTGTTGTAAAATCGCTCGTTCACCAGGGTAAAGAGGGGGTTTCGTACCCTCTCTTTTACTAAAAATTAAAAAAAAGTTTTAACATTTCAACAATGCATTGGAATTTAACGACAAAACCTTTATCAATCATAAAACGAGCGTTCTATACGCTGCGATATGGTTGACGACCTGTGTGTACGAGTGTCGCCTATAGACGATATCCTATCGACGTGTATCTACTTTTGCTTCAAAATATATTTGTTTAACAAAGCAAAACTTGTAGAGAAGTGTCAGTTTTGCGAAAAACATCTCTGTGGCGAAAGGGTTAAATAAACCGTTTTTGTTTATATTATTTTACAATATTACTTTGTCGAAATGTTGGTTGTAACTATATGTACTGTAAACGTCTTCATTTTATTCCAATTGCTTTTACTTAGTTTTTTTTTTAATTATAATACTTTTAATGAGCTCATTTATTTATCCTAATTATTAGATGAAAAATGTTCAAAATGTTACTTTAAAAAAATGTGTTTTTTTAAAAGAAACTTTAATTTTTATATATTTTTCTTCAGATTGCTTCAAATTTCATACAATTCGAACAATCCTGTTGGTTTCAATTTTTTTTATCACTGAGGCGTAAAGCCGTACAGCAATAGTTCTATTGAAAAAATTAAAAAAAAAAGAAATTTTAAAAAAGATTCAAAATTACAAACAAAAAAAAATTTAAATTGAACAATTTTTTTGTGAATTTACACATAGTTGTTTGTAGAATACGTTCGTCGCCCAATTTAATAAGCACTAAATTTACAGTATTTATAATAAATAATCTATTTGAAAATATATGAAACAATTTTATTTAATTATTGAAAAATTTCATTGATTACTGGTTATTTTTAATTTTCGAATGTTCAATTACGGTATGGGAAGTTTCAGCAATTTGCTTAAGGCACGATGCACCACTATTTCAAAAATTTGTCGGCCAGAGAGCAAACAGGTCCAATGTCTTATATTTAATTTTTAAGGGACTTTATGAAATAATAGCTAGAGCTACATTATGCAACCAATGCAAAATATAAATTTCATGGGTACATATTTCACAGAGGATAGGACTGTACAGAACCTTGATCTGTTATTTTGTCAGAATTATTCATCAACAGAGTTGGAATAACTATGCTTACCTTTGCAGGGTAAAAGTTCAGTTGCTTCCTTTTACTCCACCCACGTGTAAACTTTCATAGAGGTTATATAAAAAAAACTTAAATATAACTTAAAACTAACTTAGGGAACAATTAAACAACGTTTAATTATAGATATTATATTATGGTCTCGTAAACTAAACAGCAGTGCTCACAACCAAAAAAACTTAAAACGAAAATAAAAAAACTTTTGTTATGGATTTTCAAACATTGCCGATAGCAATCTCCGTAAGTTATTGTAATCGCAAAAAAAATAAAAATGATTTTTTTTATATCTTTACGTTTTAGAGGTTTCTGAACATTTTGGCATACCTTAGAAAAAATTGATGTATGTGTGTATATGTGCGTATATGTGTGCATATGTGCGTATGTGTGTGTGTTTTTTTTTGGTGCAGATACAAATTTTCGTCGACGATTTCGGAAACACGGTTCACCCGATTTCAATTATTCAAAAAACATTCGATTGGTGTTGATAAGGATACGTGGTGATTAGTTTTTGGCACGGGCAGGTCTAGCTGT